AAACCAGGAGAATCCTGGTCAAATCAGGAGGTTTGGCAAGCCTGATTAGAGAATAGAAAATATAGTAAAATTATATTATTGACATTTATTGGTAAATTTGTACACATATCTTGCAAATAAATTAACAAATGAGGCTATCAATGATAATTATACAGTCGATCATCCGACTATATTTCGTCAATATAACTTTTAAGATTAGAAGACATGGAGTTGTAGTATACATTAAATTATCATATAAATTTAATATTTGATTGTTATAATAAAAAGAATAATAATTATATCAATCTTCTGTATACCTGAGTAGATACTTTTCGTTACAAGAGGATATTAGAAGAACAACAACAATAGTATCATAAAAAGTAATATCAATATACTACCAAATAATATACGTAGCCCTTGATTGTGGCTATACAAAGCCCAAATGTAGATATGTGAGATATAATAGTGTATGATAATGTAATAAACGTTTTTGTGAACAAACGTTGTTCCAAGACTTCTGAAATATTTGAAGTTTGTAAGAGTAGAGTAGGGTGGAGTGGATGTGGTTGTCTTTTTCTCTATTTTCCATCCACACCCACACCCGTTAACTATATTTAAATAAATATCGATAAAGCTAAATAAGTTAAAAACTAGTGACTTGCGTCCTCTAGTGTATATTTAAATATCATATTCATGTCAATTTCGATTCGTAGATTAAAATAAACCAATGAGATAACAACTGCTGTCGTTGACAATATGGCGGCGATAATAATTCAAATTATACAGTACATATAGGCATTCAATTTATTCTCCTTTAGATTTAAAATGAAGTCTACATCATTTATGATCAGCATTTTTGTTCTTTTACCAATCTTTTCTTGGTGTGCAACATCAACCGTAGCAAACAATTTACAATCAGCTAATTTAGATGGATTAAAAAATCAATTTCAAACAGCAATGAAATCATTTTCTGATGTAGCATCATTACATTATGCTCTTGCTGGTATTAAAGAACTTGATGTTCAAGCACCAGATACATTTTGTAATGATATTAAACGATTAGTTGATAAATCAAATATTGAATCAATATATCACGCAACAGAAGCAGCTAAATCATTAGCTAATTGCAAAGTAAAAATTTATTCGTAACATAATGATTTGAAGAACTAAGAAGCTTATAGACAATAAAATTATCTTTAGAATCGTTCTTACAACAGTGAAACTTATCATGTCTTCGGATTTTATACTAAATAATTTATTTATTTTAGTTACCTGCTGAAGATTATCGTTCAACCATAAGTTCAACAATTCAATCTGATAAAAGTACAACAGCTGATATTTATTATGCCGTTCGTTCAAGTGTAAATCTTGGTGTAAATGTTGATGAAGCAACTATTGAAAAACGTCTTAATTCATTGGCTAAAACTGATGATAGCGTTTTAAGTCAAGGTTATGCATTATTAACCGGTGCACAATTAAATCATGCTATAGCTAAATATTATGCTGATACAATTAATGATCTTGTTCAACAAGCTGATGAAGTTGATGGACGTACATTACAATATGAAGGTGGTGTTGGTGCAACAGCATTAATATTTAATGCTTTTCATGAAGTTTCAGAAAAAGCTGATTCACCAATTAAAATTGATCCAAAACAATTAATGAAATTTGCAAGTTATTTTTCAACAAAACGACATGTTGCAACATTACGTAGTGCTTATTATTTAACAAAAGCATTTAAATATTTATCAGATACTAAAGTATATATTCATACATTTTTCTTTTGATTAATTCATAAATATATTTTTTTTGTTGTTTAGAATTCAATACCGGTTGTTGTTACACGTGTTAATCCATCGACAATTCATTCACAAAATCCATCCGTACTTATTTCAGTTACAAATCTTTTTGGACAATCTGTCGGAGAAATGACTGTTATGGCTGAATCAGCTAAACGTAAAGATGATGGAGTTGTTGTTGTATCAAAACAAAAACTTACACCAAAAGCTAGCGATTTGTATGTTTAAATTAAATAGAAACAAAAAACAAAATCGATATATTTCTTTTATTTAGTTCTGTTTATGAATTACCATTTTATGATAAAAAAATTCCTCGAGGATTTTATACAATTCATTTATCATTAACACCACGTACCGAAGGAAAATTTATTGGTTTAACAGATATTACCGTTCGTAGAAGAAAATCTTCTTTGTTCAAAATTTCATATTAAATTTTTGTTTTAGATTGATGTAAAAGTAACATCA